TGCCATACCCTGTGGACACCTCTGCCCACCAGAGAGAATCTAGAACAGTGTTTCTCAATCTTGGCAACGCCTTCTTGATTACAATGGATTACAGTAAAAGCCACTGGCCTATCTAAGAATCTGTGGCTCATATTACAAATACACTCTCCCCACATTTCCATTTGTGAGCATTCATGAATACTGCAATATTCCCAGTGTGCTGAATGAAAAGGTTTATTTTAAAATCCCACTTTCTCACTTTAGTTTCTTTATGGAATTATATCTTACCTTTCTACTGAGATCTCAAGCCAGCTTACTTGGGGAGGTGGGGGATGGAAGTATCATCTCTCATTTTATTCCCCAAACTGCCCAGGAAGTAGGTTGAGAATTAGTGACTGCTCTATTCCCTAGATGAAATCCATGGCTGAGTGGGGCCTTGAATCTGGCTCTTTAACTATACTACCCTGTAGTACATCTTTTGTGTACTTATCAACTCCTCTACCTTGAGTAATTAAGATTACTCATCCTCATGCCTATTTTAAGGAGCTTCTTCTAGAACATTGTGTATGTCATATTTCCTTGCTCCTGGGGGAAAGAATCTTGACACAGTTCTGCTTTTTGAGCATTCTTCCCTGACCTGATGTCTCCAAGTATATTGCACATCAGTTGTTGTACTCCTTTCCCAGAGCTGCAGTTCAATGTATTTAAAGGTCCACAGGGTAAGGAAACTTGTATCTGAGGACAGAATCAGTACAAGGTACACCTAACTCTCTACACTGGCACCATTGAGACAAATAAGGAAGAGGCCTCCTATGCAGGAAGTTTTAGTTCTCATCCCACTTTCTACTTCCTCCCAAACAGGAGAACTGCACAAATGAAGAGATCCTCCATAGCTTGAAATATGTGAGGCCTGGATCTGGGTTTGAACCCAACTTTATTCTTTGCCAGAAGTGTGAGGTGAATGGCAAGAACACCCACTCTGTTTTTGCCTACCTGAAGGACAAACTCCCTTACCCAGATGACAATCCTTCCTGCTTCATGATGGAGCCAAAGTTCATCCTATGGAGCCCAGTGCATCGCTATGACATTTCCTGGAACTTTGAGAAGTTCCTAGTAGGACCTGAAGGAGAACCTTTCAAGCGCTACAGCTCCAAGTTCCTCACCAGCAGCATTGAGCCTGATATCCAGCGCCTCCTGAAGCTTGCCAAATAAGAAAAAAGCAGAATCCCCAACATTATAGAAGTAGCCTTTACATAGATCAGAAAAATGACTAGGAATTCCCTGCACTCAAGTTTCTTCTTTCTGTCTCCTGGTGGAACCACTCAAAGAAATAGCCATGCTTAATTCCTTTTCTCTCTCTCTCTCTCTCTTTTTTTCTCTCTTTTTCTGAGTGTATGAGGTGCTTCATCCTGGCAGAGGCAACATCAGACTTCTACTGAATGACAGTCTCTTCTAAAAGCTTCAAGGAGGCGGCTTGAAAAGTGTAAAAGTGCTGATTCTTTGGCTCTCTCGCTTGCTGGGTACTGCTTGTATTACAAGTCAAATAAATTAGTTGAAGAACTTCTTTCTGCTCTGTTTATTTTTAAACCAAGCTGCCATTAATAACACCCACTCTGAAAAACCTGTTTTTGAAAAAAATCACACCTCCGCTTTCCATGTTTGTCTTCAGATATCCCAGCTTCTCCTTGGTTCCTTAAATTATGATGGCATTTCTTAAAAGCAGCTCACATAATGTCAGGACTCACTGATTGCCATTTAATATTCTTATCCTTCCACAGCATAAAGGCTGCAGGGGATAATGGTGCTCGCTACACATCAGGCTCAGCTGGACTGGCTTAGTCAACTAGATTGTTCTTAGCCTGCTGCCAAGGTCCTCTTTAGCCCAGTTCCAGGAAGTACAGAAACAGAAGTGCTCTGGATTTACAGTCCTGTAAATGTTCTGCCCAAAGCCTAGAAATACAAAACGTTAAGGAAATCCTAAATATACAAGAGATAGTAGCAGTCTTTCTAAGAAATTCTCTTTTAAAACAATACCACCAAATCTCTGGACTCCAAGCAGCTTACATTAAAAAAACAATAAAAATAACACAATAATGAAGAGTTTAATTGGAGAATGGGAAGAATAGGAAGGACAAGGGAAAGTAACAACCACAGAATTCCTATTAAAATCAGTAGAGTAAATCTAGCAAAGCCTTGTTACATACATATTACACACTTAAACAAGATCTTTGATTTCAGAATATCTGCAGAGTTAATTGCAAAGGGGATGGTTTGAAAGGCAGAGTCTCCTGATTAAAATCCATTAGAAGGAGCTGTTCTTTTTCTCTCCTTTCTAAAGTGTTAGAAGTTTTACTGAAAGTAAAGGAAAAACTAGCCTCTCTAGGAGACTGTGGTTTGATTTAATCAAGCAATATACTCCACCATCTCTAGTATCCGAGATCTAGCCAGCATATAAAAAAAATTTCTACTAGTTTCCCCCACTTTCTCAATAACCCTACACTTGAATGATAAGGGCAGAAACCAGTTTTTATCAGTATCTTCAGGTGAACCTATTTTAGAAAATGGAAGAGGTACACACTTCGAGATGGCTCAGATGCACAAGGTCTCCATTGTATTATTTCTTAGCTCCTCCCAAGGAATATCCTCATCTTTTATATTCCTGACTTTTCACAAAAAGGCCATATTATTATTACCATTTACTATGGTAAAAAACAAGGAGAAAGCATTGTTTCTACCTAATGTAATAGCATTATACTATACAATACAAGCCTACTGAGTCCCACTAAATTCAATACAACTTACTCCTAGATAACTTTGTGCATGGAATTGCAGTCTTAACGTGCCATGAACACAACTTCATCAATTTCATTGATCTTTTTAATGCATTCTAGAAAAGATAACACCAAAATCAGTTATAAAAGAATCTCCAGTAAAGATGAAACAATGAATATATACTATTCAGAAGCAGGGTCCAATGTTATGAACTCCCTAAGACTATATAATTAATATTTTGTTTACCACTGAATCATAGCTTTTCCAATCATTTGGAAAAGAAAATAGCTATAGTGAAAATGTTGGAGAAACTGCTTTGAAGGAAATTTTTATGTTCTACTAACATATGAACTGTAAGCATGCTGGCTGGGGAATTAAAATAGGAAGTATTTTTCTTAGATTCCAAGTAAAAATGCAATCATGGAAAAATTAAGAAAAGGAAACCAAATTCTACTGGAATTCTCTAATTTGTATCTCTTCTTGTTTTCCTGACTTGCTCTTCTCTGAGTCCAAAAGACTTTAATTCAATTTTTAACTGTAAGTTTGAAATATGCTTTCTGGCATATTTATAATACTTCTGAAAAATATTATACTTTGCTGTGTGTGGGGCTCTGTTGCTCCAGAACATGGCAGATTTTGGATAGCAGATGGGCACTCTTATTGTAAGACTATATAATAAAATATAATGGAGAAAATCTACTTATGTGGTTGCTAACAGTTGACACCAACTTGATGGCGCATAACCAATTAAAAAATCAATAATAAAATAATTTTATGTAATAAAAATTCTTATTTAAATGCCACAATTTAACAATAACCTCTTTTGAAAAGATTTTGAGTAGAAAAGTCCCTCTGTATAACATCTCAGAATTGCTTATCGATGTATTTGCTGTTTGAAATACAGGTACTTATAATTCAAATATTATTTGGTTTGACTTAATTTTATTTTCTAGATTTTGTGGATGGGCAAACCTAAATTCAAGGACAACAGATAAATTAATAGTTAGACTTCCATCCTAAATATATAATGATATGTGACAGTTCCCAAATACAATTCTTCAAAACAATCCATGAGGTTTATCATCATAAAGGACCAATTGACCAGTTAGCGAAAAGACAAAACTTGTAAGAACTTAAACCATTTTAGAGGTTTAGAATTAGTTAGCAATATCAGGGCCAAATTTATTTGCATCTGACTCTGCTGATATTTTGCTCAAACCATTACTATTAAATTTCTGGGAAACTAGCAAGAAATAAATGTGGTAGACCATGGCTAAGCTGTTGATATAAAGTTAAAATCCAGCAATTAACCAGCCTACTTCTTCCTATAGTACTAGTTTGTTTTGGGATAAATGAGATCAGGATTTTTCCCTGTACAAGGATAGACTGAATTTGCAGTATTCAAGGCAGACTTTTTGTCCGTTTGGAAGAGCTTTCCTCAAACTGATGTCCTCTGTATGGGCATCATACATCTCCATCATTCCTAATCTGCTTCCCTAGCACACCTGGAGAGCACCATGCTGGAAAATCTAGCTGAGAACTGAACAGGAAGGCATCCTGTTAGATAAGTGATATGCAGCAACCCTCCACAGAGGAAAGAAATGCCTTGTGCTATTGCTAGAATATAAGCAATCCAGCTTCATTCTTGACCAAAATAAATCAGGGTCAAGCTATAAGGACCAGAAGCTCCACACAATTCAGAGTGTTGTAGATAAATGGGTTTCTAGGACTGATGCTGCCTACTTCCTTAACTCTTGGTATGACAGGTTCTGTGAATGCTAAAGAAATGTATCTCTACACCATCAAAATCTTTCTTCCTATGGTTAAACTTAAGGGAGTCCATATACTTTAATTACTTCTGCTATTTCCATTTGCACCTCATTTTGACTGTGCATATCACACTTTTTGGAACACAGTCTAAACCAGGGGTTCCTAAACTTTTTGCCATCACACCTTCCTTTACAGGTACACACCTCCCCTACAAATCCAAACACCAAAATTAACACAAGCGAACAATGAAAACAATACAATGAAACTTTGAGAAAGGTGGATTTATTGTAACAATATAACTAAAAGGTTCTTTACACCTCCCCTGGGATTTTGATGGTGTAGAGATACATTTCTTTAGCATTCACAGAACCTGTCATACCAAGAGTTAAGGAAGTCACACCTCCCCTACAAATCCAAACACCAAAATTAACACAAGCGAACAATGAAAACAATACAATGAAACTTTGAGAAAGGTGGATTTATTGTAACAATATAACTAAAAGGTTCTTTACACCTCCCCTGGACTCTGTTTGCATCTCTCCAAGGGAAGTACACCTCACAGTTTGGGAAACCCTGGTCTAAACCATTATCATCATCTAAAATATGAATATAATAATATATTCATATTTTATACATCTAAATATAAAGAAGATAAACTGTTGCTGTATAAACATACAGAGGCACACATATGTAAACATTCATGAGTCTTCACCATTTAATCAAAACATTCTTTCACATAATTTACAGAGGGCCCATTTTTAACTCAGGATGGGGGTGGAGAAACTGCCCCCATCCATGATTTGGATTTGAGAATAGCCGTGCAGGTTTCACGAATTCTACGGGCAGATGGAATGTCTGCAGATATCACCCTCTTGCCATCTACCGGTGGACGATGCAGCATACTCTGTTGATGGCATTCTATCCAGTAAGTATGCAAAGACTTAAAATGCACGTAAAATATTTGAACAGAAGGATCACTCCTCAGGCTGCCAGGCAAACAAGGGGTAGCACAAGACTATTACAGGAATTGCTATACTAGAGACAGCATATTTTCTGGTAATGTTTTTCTATCCTCCTTCAGGGCATGCCAGCTGCCAAACAGGAACCACATTATGTATTCCTGGGCAGACTTTTTCTATAGAGATTTCCAGCTTAATTCAACCAATCCCTGACAGGGATTAGCCAGGAGAGCCTAAATGCACCCGGAGTGGTATTTCAGTACACCCCAATCTTTTCAGGGTGAAATCCATTTCAGAGGTTCAGTTTGGAATGCAAAGAGAAAGAACAATGGAATCAAATGGAAATATTCCCACATATGGAATAATGTTCTTGTTTTATCCTGCAGGTTATTTTCTATATTTATATGCCATACAGAGCAAGTCCAGCTTTTGCAGACTGGCTCATCTATTCTCCATTAAAAGTATGGCCCACAGTGAATGTGGGAGAATTCTAGTAATTTCCATTCTACCTCTACCACCATCGCCCCAGAAGTATCTGAAAGAGTAAAATATGGACAGCATAATCCATGCTCCCCAAATGGAAGGGATACAGTGAATAGCTGGCAAGCCTTAATTCCTGAAATGTGTCCCTTCTGGTGTTGAATCAAGAGATTTCCGTGGTCATTGTACACTCTGGGAATAGCGAGAGGAGCAAGAAGAGGCAAACCGAGTCTCTTCGCAGATTTTGATTTGCTGCCAGAAACATTTCCCTTAAGTACTGAGTGCAAAATGTAAGAACAAAAACAAATGTGTGCCTAATGGTTTTAAGCAGGAGGTGAAGTCCTAGAGGGCCTCCTTTTAGCTTAAAAAAATAAACCCATTACTGTCATTAATTATTCCATTTTGTCCAACCTTCCAGGAATTGAGATCAATACAGTTTTAAGATAACAGGCCCTAGAAATTATTACTAAGCAACATGGTTAAGAAGTTTCCTCTGGAACAGGAAAAACAATCTGTGATTCTGCCTAAGATGCTGCTAGTTTTGTAAAGCTTAGAGAAAATGGACGTAACTGGTTTCAGTCACATTTATTTTAGGGCAAAGAAGCATATGCTAAATGCTCTCCTGACAAAAATTAGAATCATCTTTGTTTAGCAATGAATACCTTATGCCCACTAGCTTACCTAACAAAAAGGCTAAAGCATCTTTTAATTTCACAGCAAACGTCTAAATATACACAAATATTTTTTGCATATTTCAGTAATTCAGGTAAAAGATTTTCAACACTGCCAGTTTAGGTCAAATGCAATTAAGAATGTAACTAGAACTGCCTTACAAGATCTACTGTACTTCCAAAAGTGACAGTCCTAGAATTTATTACCAGTGTCTGGCAATTATAGTTACTCCTTACCATACCTACTTACCATGGCAACTGGCCTTGAGTGTCTCATATTCTATGCTCATAAATAACTAGCTTGGCAAGATGACCTGGGTTAGTGTTAGTCTCGTGGTTAAAGATCAGTGTCTAACTACTTAATTGGGCAGGCAAAGTAATCATGACACTGTCATCAAAATTTTTGGCAAAAGAGAGTCATCTCAATCCACATCTCATCAGAGCAGTTTGGTCATGCAACTTATAGCAGTACACTCTTTCTGAAAGGACTAATTTCCACAGAGGGCAATGTTTCTAGAATCCATTAGCAGACACCAGGTCCCTTTCTAATTTTGCATATGAGAACTGAATCTTACATTTGCTGATGGCAGTTTAAGGTAATTTGCATTCAAAAATGGTTCAGTGGCTAAAGATTTATGGCCCTTGACTGAGTTCCTTAAAGACAAAACTTCTGTTTAATTAGTCTCACATCAGATGCTCTCCCTAATTTCACAATGAAATCCTAATTGAAATAGGCTATGTACCACAGGCCGGCATTACAAATGAACCGCAGAAGACTGCTGGGCTGTATCAAATGCAGTTCTGTGAAAAAGTGCTTGCCCTTTTTTAGATTTTCTGAATTGATGTGTATCTTTCCCACTGAAATTAATGAGGGTCCTACTGATAAAGGGAATCTGAGCAAACAAGTACTGTAATGCCAAATTCTTGAGCTTGTTTCATTTAATTCATAAACAATCACCCAACATATGATGTGCCAGTATGAAAAGTAATTGCCCCCTTAAACTCAGGAACTGGTTGCACCACCTTTAGCATGTCAGGGGGCAAGTATCCCATCACTTGGGATGTTCACATCAGCAGTCATTTAGATTAGAATCAGCAAGATTTCTTCATCTGTCCATTCTCTAATGAACGTGAAACTACATGATTCTCCTATGAGTCAACCATGCTTTCTGGAAGGCTTGAAGAAAAATGGGTCCTTCTTTCATTTGCAGGAATATTTGGGGCACAGAAGCACTTGCTATTTGTATCCTTCTCTAAAGCTTTCTGTGAGATCTTGCCTCTTCCTCCAAGCTCTACATGGTGCGTGATAGCTTAAGGAAAAAGCTTTTTCCCCCCTAACACATAGTAAACTTCGCAATAACAATAAGCATTTCTGGTGCTTTTTTTTTTTGCATGTCCTGCAAATCAGAATTCTTTCGTTTTTGGGGAGTCCTCCATCAAATATGGAGAGCTGGAGGCAGAAGTAGGTATTGCAGAGGGAAAGAAATAGTCACAAAAAGGTCCTCCTGTTTTGGTCCTTTCCAAAGTTTTCTGCAAAACACAGCATCCCCTATGATGCCAATAACATTGATTGCAGCATTCTGACTGCAAAACATTAAAGAGAAAACATTAAAGAAGACCAAAAGTAGCAGGCAGCTTCTCTGCCTTTTCTAACATTTTATGAAGCTTTCAGCAAATGAAACTTTTTTTTCCTCTTCCTTATGCTTGCTTAGAATAGAGACTTCAGTTCTGTTGATGGTAAACCAAGCTGCTATTTTTTGACCCTTTATCACTTGACTTCCCACATGGATTGAACAGAGTGTGCATTTGTGTTGTGTAAATGTCATATTCCATGAGTTCCTGTCACTTGGTACAATATATGATACAATGGCTGAGAAAAATCAAAACACTTCAGAACAATGGAGTCATCAGATGAGGATCATCAGGCAAGACACTGATAGAATCTTCTGCCCTGCCGCAGAGCATGCACAGCATGGTGTATTCCTGGAATGAGAGACAAGTTATATTTATACTGGGTGAGTGAGAATAGAGGCTTGCTGTATTTGCTGCATAGATATATTAATTTGTGCTAACCAAGAAGTCAATGCACCTGTAACAATAGCCACAGTTCAAACAATCTAGCTTATGTAGTTCAACCCTACAAGTGAACATCTTCAAGTTATGCTAAGAACTTGCAGGAAATGTATCCATCCTTTTCTTTAATGTGATGGAACAGTTCGTTTTCCTCAACCTGAGGCCTTCCAGACATGCTAGACCACAACTCCCAGAATTTCCAATAACTATGCTGGCTGAGAATTTTGAAAACACTACTCCAACAAGCTGAAGAAAACCAACTTAGAGAAGGCAGAGTTATCTGATATCATACCTGTCCAAACTATTTGCTTCTGTGGGATGATCCTTGGGTTCATCTTATGAAAAAACATGGTGAACTCTAGCTGTTCACCTGCAAAGAACTATACATGTTTTGTTTTCATACCATTTAAGTGGAATGAAGCAGAAGCTATGGAATCACAGATCCTACAGTCTGAGGTTTCTCTTTAAAAGAAAAAAAAACCTTGTAATTACAAATATAACTTAAAAAAAAAAAGTGATTGACACCAGGCAAAGGGGGGGGGGGAGATGCATCTTTGTCTGCCTTCCAGAAATAAAATAAATAGGCTAATGAATGTGTCTATTTATATAATTAATAATAAATATGGAGTGAATTCATCTTTTCTTGACACAATTCTGTTTTCTTCTATCAGAGAAAATATATAAATAGTACTGCATTTGCTCAGGTTAATATTGGAAAAACTGCAGGTATTGAAATGTATTTTTTCACATGACACAATGGCTCCACTACCCACTTTCAATGGACAGCCTATGGGATCACATGATACTTGTCCAATCCATTTCTCCATTTCTTCCCCTGTGATCAAAAAGGGAAATAAATAAAATGGTGGATGACTGAAGCCCAGTGCACTGTTTCCTTTCCAATAAATTAGCATTTTGTGACTGGCCAATCTGGCGTAGCAATCTTCTGTGAAAGTATTCTTCACATACTACTGACATTCCAAAATAGGCCACAGGCCCAAAAGGTTGAGGACATCTAGTTTAGGATTTTGTGTGCAGCTTTCATCTAAGAGAATGTTAGGCTCAACAGACACATCAGGACATATGTGTCTAGCTAAAAGCTTGTACTAAGGAACACACAGCTGAGTCTGATCAATTCTTTAAAATCTACGCTTTCAGTGTGAATAGCTGTGAACAAAAGTGCTATTCTAATTCTTAGATGTTTCTCAGTCATTTGGGTTGATATATATATCAAGCAGGCTAATAGAGGTCTTCTATTCTGCTCCTTTTCAAGCAAGTCTAAGTTCTAATCACAACCTTAGAATTTTGGACTATCTTAGCTCTAATACCCATAAGCCTTAGTTAGTAAGCATTATTCATTATTTATAGCAGTTTTCCTTAACCTGCTACCTTCCAGATAAGTTTGATTATAAGTCACAGTATTCCCAACCTGCATATCCGGGAGTTGTAGTTGTATACATGTGACAGTATTCAACAAGTTGGGGAAAACTTCTTTAAAAATTCAGTCAAATGTCAAATGTTTTTAATTACCAACCACTTACCAACACCTTAAAAGATATGATGGGTAAAACATAAGATTGGTATCAAATATAAAAGCCCTCTATCTCCCTCTGTGGTTCACAAGAAGCAGCCGAAACTACCACTTTGCAATAATTGTGCCAAAATCTGAATGCCAGAATTTTGATGTGGAAAATCATTTATTTAAAAGCAACGTAATTAAATTTCATTTATTTTAAATCATCATCATCATCATCATCATCATCATCCCAACCCCAATGACTCTGGATGGTTTACAAATTGTTTAAAACATTAAAACAAGAAAAACAACAAGAAACAAAAGGAAAAGTAAAGATTGCATAATGACAAAACTGGATGGAAACAAAGGAAAACAACTCAAGTTAAAAGAGGCAACTGTTCAAGGCCCTTTGAAACCCCAGTAGGATGTGGGCTGTTCAGATCTCAGGGGTAATCTCATTCCAGAGGGCAGACGCTGTATAGAGAAAGCGTTCTCCTAGGGTCCTGACAGATGGCTTTGTTTAATCAAAGGAACTTGGAGTGGGCCAATCCTTCCAGATCGAATTGGCTGGTCAGATACAATGGGAGGCAAAGGGTCCCACAAATAATCAGGCCCTAAACCATGTAGGGTTTTATAGATAATGACCAGTACCTTGAATTGCACGCAGAAGCAAACTGGCAACTAGTGCAGCTTGCAAAGCAGAGGTGTTACATGAAACTGCTGAGGGAGGTCATCAGTCAGTTTGAGGTTCGGTGACAAAAGTATGCTGATAATACCCAATTCTATTTATCAACCCCAGGCTGGCAAAGTGAGGCAGTTAAGGTCCTGTCCAAGTGCCTGTGCAGGCCTGGATGGAGAGGACCAGACTTCAATTCAATCCTACCAAGACCCAGTGGCTGTGGATATTAAGGCTTCCCAGGGATTTTCCATCTATACTTTTGATGGAGCAGCACATCCTCATTTAAGGGTGGTGCACAATCTGGGTGTCCTCTTGGATTCAAAGCTCTGGCTTGAAAAGCAGGTGGCAGCTGCACCCAAGAGGGTCTTTGTACAGCTCCATCTGGTGCACCAGTTGTGCCCCTTTTTGGATGCGGTGGTCCTTCAGACAGACCCTCATGCCCTTGTCACCTCAAGGCTCAACTACTGCAATGTGCTCTACATGAGGCTGCCTTTGAAAACCAGTGATTGGCATGCCCCAGTATGCCCACATGACACCGCTGCTTCACGAGTTGCACTGGTTGCCAGTATGCTTCCAGATGCAATGCAAAGTGCTGGTCATCACCTATAAATCTCTATAGGGCTAGGTTATTTGAGGGTCCACCTCTTTCCCACAGTTTCTGCCTGGATGGTATGTACCAGCCAAGCTGGCATGCTTCGGGTTCCTTTAATCAATAGCACTATTTATCAGGACCCAGGAGGCACTCCTTCTCTGTCACAGTGTCTACCCTCTGAAATGAGATTCCCTCTGAAATCTGTGTGGATCCCTCCTGTTGGCATTCCATAAGGACTTGAAGACCTGGTTGTTCTCTCAGGCCTTGGGTTAAGATGGATGGAACCCCTTCTTGGATGTGTTTTGTCTATGTTTTTGTATAGAGTGACCAGATCCCATCTTGTTTTGTTTTGTATTGTGTTTTTATGGTTTGTTACATTGTTAGCTGCCCAGAGTCAGTATGGAATTAGGCAGCACCTAAATTGAATTAATAAATAAATAGTAGTTTACCTAAGTAACCCAACTGGCTGAGTTTATACAACATAACCACTAATTAACCACACAGATTAGATTCACGCAACATACTAAACTAAAATGTGGTCCACTAGTTAACAACATCATATGCAAACACATTGAATTACATGTTATAAATAGTGCAGCTATTTGATTACCAAGACTTCATAAGCCTCATTAAGACAAAAAAATTGAAATAAATAAAAGGTAAACAAATTTAATGGTTGATCAATGAACGACTCTTATACCTGGTAATCGTCCACTACCCCAAAAGTATATTCGTGCCTGGCTATCACATGATGACAATTCTTACATACATCTGAAAAGAAAACCAAGAGATTTAGGAAGACAGAACAGGCTTTGTCTACTCTATGCTCTGAAACTGTAAAACAAATCAAATTACTTATTTCAAGAAATATGCACTGATTACACAGGAACCAAAGGATAATACCTGTTATACCAGCCATACCAAAAAGGTATAGTATATAGAAAGCTCAACCTTTCCCCACTCAGCTTCCTAATTCCCATCCCCAGTCATTTATTGATTATTCCTACTGTCCTCACTTCTCTAATGCATTCACTGCTATTGCCTCAAGGGAAAAAAGGAGAGAAGCAGAACTGTTCTGGCATTACACACTGGTGCACCAAAGAGAAACACTCACTGTAGAAGAAAAAACAAAAGAAATATGGGATTAGCAATTCCTGGAGACTGAGCAATATAAAAAAGCCAGAAGGGGCAACGATACAGGTGGACATTTGTCTGCTCATTAAAACAACATAGCTAGGAGGCATCCAGTCCCAGGATGCTGTTCCAAAAAAATATTAATCTGCTTAAAATATGTTTATGGCACCCTTTCAGGGCAACAGGCAATCAATGAATAAAATAAGCTGATGTTGGTTGATTTCCAAAAGCTAAGCAGAGTCAGATGAAGTTAATATTTTTTTACAGGGAGACCATTAGGCAATCCCAGGAATGTAGTTCAGATTGGGGAACTGGATTTGGTACTATTTGCAAAAAAACCCCCAACATAGACATGACCAAGTAGTTTTCAGGAATCAAGATCAGTTGAAAGGAGATTTTGGTCCTCTCTTTTGTAATTACGTAGTACACTTACCTAGGTTAACTAGCTCATCCATACAAGAAAATATGAGACCCAATTCCCACTTTGTTTATGGGTATTATAAGTAATTCTCACTGTCTCTCATCTCTGTTTTTATTCTCTATTTGTCTTCTGTCCTACTCACCTATCTTACTTTTCTTCTTCTCAACAACAATTGTATAGTAAAGTCTTATGCTTCTGATGAAGTGGACTAGAATTCGAGAAAGCTTAACAGAAATGAGCGCAATGAGGATAGAGCTATTGTGGAAGCTGCTGAAAATAAATGTAGGACTGTAGTCAGAAGACAACAATAAAGAATTGTTTCCTCAAAAACTAGATAGAAAGAAAAATAAGCAAATGATTTCTTCCTGTCAGCAGCCAGATTTAGAAATACATTTGGTCCTGCAGATATATTTATAGTGACCGAGTTCATACATGACTCTAAGCAATGCGTATTTACCAGGATCTCCTGAATAAGGCACTATGGGTGGGCTCACACATAATATTGTAAACCATAGCTTATAAATGGAAAGGCTCACATAACAAATTAAGCCAAAAACAAATAAGCCATGTGGTAGGTTAATGAATGTGTGAACCCAGCCTCGGAGAATTAATAAATCCATCAATGGCAAGGATTGAAACTATTTTCCTTGAGTGAAACTTCCTACTCTACTAGCTCTTCATTCTCTTCCATCTTCTATACACTACCAAATTTGCTTCTGAGAGTTCCCCTATACTCCAAAATATATTTGGGGGCATGTGACACACTGTGAGAAGAAGAATAAATTCATTTATTCCCTTAAGCCTATATTGCTAGCAGACAGGTATCACTGGCCATAACCCAGTATCCTGAAGTCCATTATTTAAGTAACTGTGACAACAATTCACTACCATTTTCTTTTTATAATGAGAAAGAAATGCATCACATATATCTCACACATAAAAGCGTGTCTGGACACATTTAATTTTCAACAATAAACCAGATTTCTGGAGACAGGCTCTTAATGTCCATACAAACAACAGAAGAATCTGGCCATCTTACGGTCATAAGTGATAATTTCCTCTCCATCCTCATCTTCTGTTGCTTTGTTCACAATCATCACAAAATCCCGTGTTTTGCATTCAGCACAACCAACGTAGTTCATCAAATAGGATCCGTTCTCCAAGCAAGTGTTACCCTAAATGATTCAAAAGTGGGAAAGTATTTTAATATAGCCAGTGATCTCTTCCTAGATTGGCTTAAGAGCCAAATTTACCAATTACTTGAGAGTTCTACACTCAGAACTTCCCACATTTTTTAAAAGCAACCAAGAGAGTGATTATGATTAAGGATATCACAAATATCCTCCCCCCCACCAGTTATTTTATTCTACATATGAGTAATTCTGGTAGATTACCCCAAAACCTAATTTCTATCCATGCATACTTTCCTTCCCAGATACATACAGTGCATCCATACCAATCTGCTAAACAACAATGTGATAGGCTGTTAAAAATGTGACTTCTCCCTATGTGGGCTCACACACAATATTATAAACCATAGCTTAGAAATGGAAAGTCTTATGTAACAAGTTAAGCCAAAAACAAACAAGCCACCTGACAACATGATCCTGGTTTTCAAAGGCTGTTTCTTCTGTATAGGTTCTTCTCCATTCCACAGGGAGAAGTCACCATAAACAATGATAAACAATAATGCTACCAAAGGCTTTTCAGATTATGATATATAATCTGCAATTGATCTACCACTTACAATTCTATATTTCAGTAAGGTTGTTTTCTTACATTTTTCAAGTTTTCTAAATCAACTGGCACATCTCTGGATTACACGTACTACTGATTTCCAATTTATTTCTCAATATAATGTGCAACGGTTCTGTTTGGTTGATATCAAGTCAATATTTTCAACATTACATTGAGAAATAAATTTAAAATCAAAAGCTCACATTACCCAGACATATTCTAATTTTAAAATAACTTTTAAACAATTCACTTTTAGAAGCAAAATATTTTCTATCCCACATCATTAGTAGAGTTTCTTGAAAACACGTAATTTTTACATTCATCCTACTTAGTGGTTAAGGCACCAGACTACAAACTGTGAGACTGTGAATTCTAGTCCTGTCTTAGACACAAAACCAGCTGGGTGACCTTGGGCCAGTCACTTTCTCTCAGTCCTGGGAAGGAGGCAATGGCAAACCACTTCTGAAAAATCTTGCCAAGAAAACTGTAAGGACTTGTCCAGGCAGTCACCAGAAGCAAAAAAACTGACTTGAAGGAACGCAGATACAGACACAAAAAACACCTCCCTAAGAAGGATGGTTCTGTCACACAGTACCTGTTTGGAGAGAAATTTTCCCCATCTTTTTTCCCTCCAATTGGTGAACTACAATTCCCAGAATCCTCACCGTAATAAAAGACCCAGAAGAAATGCTCAAAGCTGTAGTCTAACACAGTTGAAAGTGTTGGCAATTAAAGGCCTGTACCCCCTTGGCAGAAAATGAGAGTCCATTACAGCTGGCAGCCCACACAGTAGGATTCACCGATTCCACCTTGAAAAGATCAGTTCTCCCCATCTATTCTACCTGGAGAGTTCCACTTCAGGAATCCTTTTAACCACAACAGGGCCCAATGGTGGTGGGGGGGGAGGAGTCGCCAAAAAAAGGGGGGGAAGGGGCAGCCTGGTGCTGCGTGTGAAAAATAAGGGCGAAAAGTAGAAAAAGGATTCATAAGCTTATTTGGCCCTGGGGGGGGTGGAATTCCAAAATGAAAAAAGCCGGGGAATACTGTATATTTATTAGCGTTGCACCTTGCACACTCTTCAGTGATATTTTGGCTGGTCTGAATAAAGGCATTACTGAGCGCGGGAGAAATTAATTCTGCCTGCAGACCCCTCCTTTGAAACTCATCTACCTCCAGGTAAGGCAAGGGGACAAACTTCGCAGGAAGCCAAGCAAAAGGGAAAGCAGCGGCAAAAGGAAGGGAACGTGGCAGCGCTCCCTTCTCGTGCCCTACAGAAAGTCCGCCCCCCCCCTTACCCGAGGCGGGTACTCCGTCTTCACGCAGCCCCCACACATGCTGACTTCAAAGCTCCTTCCCGGATCTGTCCGTCCCCGTGACGTCGCTCTCCACGCGAGAGAGAAAGAAAGGAAAACAAACGAGATTTCTTCGACTCCGTTCCAAGTGCCTCTCGGAATGGAGGCGGGTCGGCCGGGGAGGGAGGAGCCTGTGCCGAGGGTGTGGCTTACCGGCTGGAGAGATTGAGTTTGGGTTGAGCCTTGCAGGTACGTGGGGTTGAATGGAGAAAAAGATCACGTACAGTATTTTCCCAAGCTTGGTAGGTTAATGCCCTTCGAAGATTTTTGTTCTCAAGCCTGCAGTGCTGCTACTGTTTATCGAATGTGGATCCTACTTGTAAAGAGTCTTAGACACTTTTTACTTCGCTCGTAGAAGAAATGACGAGATGACTAACCTAGAGATTTATAGCGTCACCCAGTCATCGCCTCTGGTGATGTATTATTAATATGCATCAGCTTTATATCGCCACAGAGGCTTCGGGAGGATGCTATGAATCGCCAGTGAGAATCACCTATGGATAGGAATAAGCATCAGGGCGCGTTTCTCCTTTCTTTCCCCTTCAGCATAATGGGAAAGTAAAGGAGCTTAATTCACAGGCTTCCACTCCTGCATCTAAGTCTCTCTACAGTACTTAAACAATAGGATGGCGTGCCGAAATCCGGCTGGAAACTCTTGAAGTAAAGTTTACCAGAAAAATTACAAGAAAAAGCAAAGATCGGGTGGGTCCTTAAGGCCATCTGGTGAAGCGGTTTATAGTAAATATCCATGAAAACCAGCGCTGCCTTCCTCAACCTGGACCTTTCCAGAGGTGTGCTAGCTCGGAAGTTCAATCCCACGCAAAAGGGATGACTGGTTGGTGCTAGAATCACTTGTATTTAACATACCCAAGACTTCTTCCCCACTTTCATTCTGCTGGCACTGGGAAGAATGGCAGTACTGTAGCTGCTATTCTTATTCTTGCAGAGGTTTGGAATGAACTAAGTGATGGAAATAAAAGAGCCAGTTTGGTGTAGCCCTTAAGGCACCAGATTAGAAACCAGGAGACACGACTCCTAGTCCTGCCTTAGGCAGGAAGCCAGCTGGGTGACTCTGGGCCAGTGGCTCTCTCTCAGCCCTAGGAAAGAGGCCGTGGCAAACCACTTCTGAAATGTTGCCAAGAAAACTGCAGGGACTTGCCCAGGCAGTTGCCAGGAGTCAAAACTGACTCAAAGGCACCCCTCCCACCCTCGAAATAAACTATGCTAGAAATAAACATTTCAGAATCATTCGTTTTCAAATGATTTGAAACATTTCAAATACATGCTTAATAAGATTCATTTATTTGTAAAATATTTTGAGTTACATAAAATTTCTTCCTGGAAGATATATTTTTTCTATCTTATTTCCTGCCTTTAGTCTTTGCTCACTACTTCTCATTCTTTTTTTCTTTTTTCTTTGCTTTGCATGATATTGCTTACCCCAAAAGGAAAAAGCATAATAGGCAGGGATGTATTCTCTGTTAATGAGTTCTGGACATATGCATTGTTGTCCACAAATTATCAATATCTGCATACAAATAACCCTACTCAATTTAAATTAATATAGATTTAAATACATAGGACATATGTATGATGGCAAAGTTTTTATAAAAGGATTACAATTAAATGCATAAGGATTATAACCAAAAGTTAAAAAAAGATGTTCTGAAAAATATAACACTCCTTTGACTGTAGATAATGTTCAGGAATGCAAGAGGCTTAGTCAGCAACACTAAGCCACTGAAAATGGCTGTGCTTCCTTAAGGCTGGACGTATTATTTTAAGTCATTCAATACCATTGTTATGAAATATATTACCAAAAAACCCTGAACTAAAAACCATTTTATGCATTCTGGCGTTTGTGCTGTGAACCCAAGTTTATATGGAGGAGGAGAAGACATCAGTATTAACAAATAGTGAATTCTGAATCCTAGTTATTGGATTCAGCAACAAACCATTAAGCTGTAGTTTGAAGTTAATATTTGGATTAGTGTCTGAAGGTGATGTAACTTTCACTCTTAGTATTGACAAGCAGTCAAGACTAGCTTCCACACAGAATTAGAGCAAAATATAAATGTTGTAATTAAACATTGCAGCCATTAATAATAGCTACCCACTGGATGCAGCCATGTGATATTTTTTAGCCATAAACTATTAACCAAAAGTGATGAAAAAGTAGAAATATCTATTGTAAGGAAAGCAAACATACATTTCTGCTAGCAAACATGGATCAGATGTCAGTATTTTTAACTACAGTGGCAATCATTGTGGAAAAAAACCTTGCACAATTCTGTACAATTTTTTTTTTTTTTAATAGCAACTCTGGTAATGCTCATACAATCAATCACCTTTAGGAGTTTTTTATGAGAATCAGCAAATAAGTGGATAACAATGATCTGGTAAACAATATTTATTGGACTTTCAAAAATCTATTGACAAAGCCCTTGCAAAAGGCTTTTGACAAAGCTCTGAGCAAATCTAATAGGCATCATGTAAGAAGAGATGAACACTTACTAAAGAAAAGAGGAAAAGAGGAACAAATAGACAGTTCTTTTAATAGAAACTCATGAACAGTGATGTCCACCAAACATGCATACTAGGATTAATGCTTTTAATTTGTTTTCAAATGCCCTGGAGTTGGCCCAGTTTGTTGATGGCATTCAGTAATTGTTTATGTTACTTAAAGCAGGAAAAAACGAATAGAACTTCAAAAGGTCTCATAAAACTGGGACAATTAGCATTCAAATGGCAAAAATAGTCCATATGGAATACAATCCTACCAGCAAGCTTTCACCAACATTCTTGTTCCTGCATTTTGACCCTAATGCAGTTTCTGAAGGCTGTTCCAAGTAGAACCAAGAAGAGCACGTGCAACAATCCAGTCTAGATGTACTAAGGTAAGCATGCAGGTCTGAGCCAACAGGTATAACGTTGGTTCCAGAAATACTTCCATGCTGAAAACTTGATTCTTCAGAGGGAATTTGAAAGATTCCCCTTCCCAAAACAGACTGAAATCCTATTTCAAATCTATCTGCTTGCTGGACAGGCATACCTCTGTCCTGCCTGGATAATTTTATTAGCTCTCATCCAAATCAGAGTACAGTATCAGATTCCCCATTGGTAGATGAACAAGTGAAATAGAGCTGTGTGTCATCTGTACTGATTGATTGATTTGATTTATATCTTGGTAAAATAATACCAAAAACACCTCACGTGACAATATGAGTATATGAAGGACAACCTATCCCAAATCTGATAAAGCCTCTGAGCAGTTCTTTAGTATTGAATAACTTGAGAGGTAAGATTGAATCCTGAGAAATATTTTAGATATCCAAATAACATCTTGGAATGGAAAGGAGTAACCATGGCCCAGGTGAAATTTTGACCAGAAATGTATAAATATCACTCCCCACTATCATGGCACAGTATGATGCATTCTAGAACAGCATGGGATTTACCATATAGTATGTCTGGAGGGCAGCAGTTTGGGGAAATCTGTTTGAGTTTTCCTCCTCTGAATAGTTATTCTGAGAGTGTGGATTAAAAAATCTTTTATCTGAGCAAACAGTTTTTATTCATCTTACATGAAGCATTTTGAGTTCAATTATCACCCTAGGAATTGGCCTTAAAAATAAAGCTAATAGACTGAAATTGCTATTGATTTCTAGCAATATCTCTTTGCAAGGGATAGGTAAGCAACTTTCTTCAAATGAATGAGATTTGCCGGTTCAGGAAAAAGAATAGAGTTCTTATAAACACTGGACCTGCTGCAGTCAGAAGCAGACTCATTTTTCCTTTCCCGGAAAGCTGTCCCTGCAGCAGTTTCGCGCTGAATAAACCACTCCCCGCCCGCACTCTCGTCTCCCTTCCCACTGTAGAGAATTCGCCCTGTAATAGTCTCCGGTGCTCCTAACAGGTTTCCTCTGCAGAAAAGCCACTACAGCACGGCTGCAGCACTCGGTCTATATACCTACGATGAGGTTATCCTCTACTTTTTTGCTTTGCATTCAGCGCCTAAGCAGAATGGATTTTTAAACGATGATGATCTCCTCCCCTTCAAATGGAGGGGGGGGCGGTCTAGCAAATGAGAGCGCAGTTTCACCATCCCTGTCTAGGACATCAAGGAAGGCCGAAGTACAACTTGCTGCCGGTGACGAGGGGCGCCGCCGCGTGGTTTAAATCAGAGGCGTCAGACACTTTCCTTTGCGAGAGAAAAAGCGGGAAATAAAGAGCGAAATCCTTTCTAGTTGACGTCTAGCCAGGAGAGCGGGTGGGTGAAGCGGGGACAAGGGCAGTCCTGTCACGGGGCGTTTGTCTCCGAAGCACGGAGTTATTTGCAGAGGTTCGCACGAGCTGCCCGGAAGACGCGGGAATTCGAACCCCTCCGCCAGCCCCTCATTGCAGCACGAGGGCTGGCGGGCGCTTCAGGCGCGCGGACTATGGGGCGGCCACGTTCCAACTGTCGGCCGTTAACGGAGCGGCGTTTGTTGGTGTGAGAGGCGGGCGCCAAGCCCTGCCTCCCTCCCTCCAGTCCGGACATCCGAGGAGGCTCCCGCCACGCTAGAGCAGCCGTCGGCGTGGTTTCAGAGTCTCACGTTGTCCTACCACAGTCCTCCGGCTGCCTCAGTGAGAGAGGAAGCTCCGTTGCCGTGGGGGGCACAGCCAGTGCGCCTTCCCTTTCGCCACTCCAACCCCCAGCTCCCCTCTTTTATTTAGGGCCGTGGCTCCCGCAGTTTAAAGCGTGGCTTCTTGCCTGGGGACTGGAGTGTTTACTCCCGGCAGGGGCTTGAGAAGATCCGGCGCCGCTTTCTTGCTTTAAGCTGGGTGTGGCCCGGTTGTTGCCTCTCGGCTGCTGGGCATCGTTAGCAGCAGGTAGCGGCGGCGGCGGTTGCTGCGCTGGGCATCGCCAGGTGCCGCTGCTGGCGCTGGCCTTGGGGGGCCGCTGTGCTGCATTGCAGGGCAGGCGCTTCCTCCTCCTCCTCCTCTCTCCCTCCCCTCCCCCGGAGGGACACGGCTATCTGGGCCGGGCAGCCGAGCTGTCCCTGAGCAGGAATGTCCCTGCTTGCCCAGATAATGTTATTTATATCGCCGGCGGAAGGGCGGCTCCGCTCAGCTCTCCCAGGACCACCCCGGCCCTCCTGGGGCTCAGTCTCGCCGCTGCCCTGCGCTCTGTGCTGCCTCTCCTCTTGCTACTCTAGACAGGTGAGTTCGCGAAACCTGACCCAGAAAGCGCAGCTGGACACCTGCGAGAGGGAGTCTTTCAGGTGGCAGAGCTGCCTTGGCGGGGTGGAGAGCTGGCTTTTCTGAGATTCCTGTTCTGGTAGCGGAGGCATCCCTCTCGCCCCCCAGCAGGCTGGGGCAGCCTATTTATAGCACCGCGCTTGCGTTATAGGAGAAACACGGAGGGGTAGATAAGATTATTCGTTCCGAATTGTCCCTTTTCAAACGGCAACCGTGGTCTCGGCCCATGAAAAAGGAGTTGGAAGATTCTCACCTGCCTACTAATTACGTTTGAGGGGAAAGGCTAGAGAGAGTTGGGGTTGAAAAGAAGGCAAAGTTATGAGTTGGTGTGAATCTGCCTCTTGCAAGATCAAGGGACCTTCACGGCACATTCCTGGACCATCTGGAAGTGAGTTCTGAGAAGAGACCACTCATATAATTGTATATTGGTTAACCTTTTCTAAACTCCTGTCTGTGCCTCATTGTCCAGATACTGCATTAGTGGACTGTACAGTATATAGTGATCAATTATACCTGCAAGGGAGCTTGCCTGCTTAAATCCATCCTGTGCTCCTGCTTTAAAAAAAAAAAAAAGACAAAACCCAGCATCTTGGTCTTGTGGTGTGTTCACCTGTAACAAATACATTCTGTCAGAAAGCTCTGTTGTTTTTTCTACTATCCCCTCTTGGATTTATCTTTTATGCAATTGGAGTCTCATTAGACAGGAGAGTTGTGGCAGGCTAATGTCACACTTTGTATCAGTGTATATCCCAAATCTGGAAAGAAGGTATGTAGATCATGCAATCTTGTCTTCTGTTGTCTGTTTGTAATATTTCATTAATGGTCTTCAGCAATGGAATGTCTAATTTATTTGCGCAGAATCTGGTTATTGTCAAGACCACATGTAAGAAATCTGTGGATAATTTTTTGGTCTGATAAAAGTGAATGGTGAGAACTTTGTGTTATTCAGCTGATGCAAACACAGAGTTTGTACTATAACCATAAGTTCATTTGCCAGTTGCTTTCAGAAAAAATACACTTACACATGAGATAGGGACACAGACCTGCTGTATTGCTATGTTGTTACATAAAACCAATTAATATGAATCTGTTTCAGTATCCCTGCCTGGATTTTTTTTCTTTTTTTTTTGGTGTGTGAACATGGTCAGATTCCTTTTTCTATAATGTACTGAAATTATTTACTGAATGTGGCAAACTTAATGTTTTGTTTACTAGATTTCTGATTCATTGTGTTAATTTGTCTTTACAATAAGATCTACAGATAACAATGAAACTTCACATTATTCCCTCTTTCCTTCTGAACACTTAAGGTGGTAGGATGATTACTTTAGAAGTCATATTCTAGGATAAAAGCATGAGAGATATTGCATTTTAGTGAATTAACTTTGATTTAGAATGTTTTATTTTTATTTAAATTTTGCAGATATGGTCTATACAATGGATTTAAGAAGGTGCAACTTTGTTCCATTCTGAAGTTTAAAATACCATCTTTAATTGTTATCTGCATAGTTTATTTTAATGTACTGGGGCCCTTCAGAAGTGTTGAACTATAATACCCATCATTATCTATTCTTATTTAGAATGGGATTTGTGATCCATTTCATCTGCAGGTCACTGAATTGGGGAAAGTTGAGATACATATGTAATTTTTCTCTGAAGGATTCTGGTTTTTTTTTAAAAAAACTTCCAGTGTGCAGAAAAGTAGAACCTTGAAACTGACAAGAAATGGACAAAAAAATGGACTTGTTTGGCTTGCTGGAGAATCTGCCTGTACAGGTTTCTCTGTTAAAATGTATTGGTGTAACAGATATAGCCAATATTATTATAAAACTGCACTGGTGTTGATGCTGAGGAATTCCATCAGTTACTATATTGCATGATCTTGCATTTCTTATCTAATACTATAATCATACCCTACATTGGGATATTTATTTAAAGTATATGGGATCTAAGCTAAGTATAATATGATACATTTTATGGATATTGCAAGAATTTTGGATTTTCAGTTCAACATATATAAGGAACTGTAGATGCAGAAGAAGTGGGTCTGCTAGCATTAACTGTCCTTATTTATAATATTGCTTCACATAGAAATAATGGTCCAGCGCACAAGTTCATTTTCTTCATATTTATTCATTACCTGACAACGGGACCATAAATAATTATTCTTTCAAAAGGTTTAAACTGAAATGTTTTTTTTGGATTTAGTCAAACTAGACTGAAGATGTAAATACCTATCTAAAGCATGTTTCTTTTCAATATATTAAGAAGAGGAGGACAGAAACATAAATATGAGAATTTTTTTTAGAAATCTTGCCTTGCTAGCCAAAATATCATTTAGCTGTAACAGTAGATTGCAATGAATATTTGTGCCTGTTAGGTTGTGCTTTTGTTACTTTCCACCCTCTATCTGATACCAACCAACTATATATGATATTCTTTAAAAATCCTATTCTCAGTTCTTTTGCTTTGTTCTTTGATGTAGTGTGTCTGCAGCATCTTTAACATTTACTCACATTGCCTGGACCATCTCACTCTTCCAAGCTCTGTCTACAGTAAACTCCAAGATCTGCTTCTAATCCCATCTATCTTGATACTGGCTACACAAGCTACATGAAAATTAGCTTAGTGATTTTCATTCATATTTTCTGTTCGTTGATTGAGATGGATAAAATACTGTTCCTATAATCAAAGAGTCTGACTCACAATTACTCTGTGCGATATGGGATACGTGTTAAGGAACATGTTAATCTCTGCATTAAGAGCCAGTTTGGTCTAGTGGTTAAGGCACCAGGATAGAAATTAGTCCCATTTAGGCATGAAAGCTGGCTGGGTGACTTTGGGCCAGTCGCGCTCTCTCAGCTCAACCCACCTCAAACAGTTGTTGTTGTGGGGAAAATAAGAGGAGGAAGAAGTGTTAGGTATGTTTGCCACCTAGAGTTATTTATAAAAAATAATAAAGGCAGGATAAAAAAATCTAATAAAAAAGCATGCAAAACTGCGTTATAGAGTTAATTGGTCCATCTAACCCAGTTATTTTCAACAATGACTATCAGGACAGACTTTTTCCAGATCAGAAAATGCCTGGAGTAAGAATGGATTGTCACATTGATAATGAAGCTTGCAGGCTGTTTTGTAAACAATGTTCAGGTGGAAGCTGGCCTACCTTCTTAGAAAGGGCAGGTAAAAGAAAGCTAACTGCTTTAAAATGCCTACATATAAGATTTACATTTGAAAACAAAAGTACTTAGTGGAATTTTTGTGTATCACTTTAACCTTTTTCTTATTCTTACTAACCACGACTTAGAAAGACTTGTCTGGTGTTCATTTCCAATCTTAATTA